AAAATAACTCACGACACTACTTATGAGACAAATATGATTAAATTTCCTTTGCTTCTACGTCTGTGCGCTGCTACAGTATATCAGTTTAGTATGTTCACTATGTTACATAACTGCCCCCTGCTGGTCTTGTCTTTCTTGTGTTGAATCATTTTGTGCTGTGCCGTGCAGTACTGAAGCATTGGGTGAGGTCACTTTCATTCACTTGCACATTCCCAGTAGTCACATCTGTAACTCTTTATCTCACAGGTACATCATAACATGTCCAGTAGGAGGCAATAATAATAATCAATTATAATGGTAAATCTTGAGACCATGATTTTACATTGCATGGTCATTATATGAAGATGTATACTGAAAAAAAAAAATCTTGAGACCACAATACATTATTATATTCCATCAAGTTATTATGTTTTGGTCTTAACATGCTTTAATGTTCCTAAATGGTCACTTTAAATAAACTGAATGTAAGCTGATTTTTTGCTGGTGGTGGAGTTGAAAGAAGTAACATTCATTGTTCTACTGAAATGCGAAGTGTGTGCATCTAACTGCACTGTTTTAGTCCAGAATCAGATTGTGAAAGAGAACTGCTGAGAAGTCTCTCTTGTGCTTATACAGTGACGATTTTATACAAAATCAATGGAATCCATTACTACCAGAGGAGAACGCAAGTACATTTCGTTTATCTCTCCTCTTCTGACAGAGCGAAAGAAATAGAGACAGAATATGAAACCAAACAGGTTAGAAAAGGACAGCTGAACTACAGTACTCGTCCAACAACTAACTAGTCAAACAGAGAAAGATTTAACTGTAAACCCTAATCAAGTTCAATTTAACTGAATAATTTTAAAGGCAAAGAATAAGCACTGTTCTTTTCAACTTTCTATTGGTTAAAGAATTCATTCAAAATGTGACTTAGTTTCCAAAAATGTTTAGCAGCTCAACTATTTTCAGGGTGACATGGTGGGTCAGTGGTTAGCACTGTCGCCTTACAGCAAGAAGGTTGCTGGTTTGAGTCCCGGCTGGGCCAGTTGGCACTTCTGTGTGGAGTTTGTAGGTTCTCCCTGTGTTTGTTTCATCTTGGTGCTCAGGTTTCCCCCACCTTACAAAGACATGCGCTAAAAGTGAATTGATTAAACTAAATGTGCATAACACATGCTGGAATAGTTGGTGGTTCATTCCACTGTGGCGACCCCTGATAAATAAGGGACTAATATATAGAAAAATTAATGAATGAACTGTTTTCAGTTTTGAGAGCAATAATATTACTTGAGCACCAAATCAGAATGATAAGAATGATGATACTGTATGATCCTGACAATAGGAGAGATGGCTGCTAAAAAAATAGAAGAAAATACATTTTCAAATTTAATAAAACAGCAAACGGTTAAAATAAATTGTATTCATATTTTCATAGTGTTTGCTGTATATTGCTATTTCTTTTTCTGAAGACATAGATAGTCCGCCAACCTGCTAGTTTTGAAAATAAATAGTTTTGCTAAGCAACACAGGGAAACAGCAAGAAAGAAATGAGGGTAAAATAGACAGATCAAATAAAATGTGTGGAAAAACGCTGGAGAAGAAGGAAATGAAAAGGCTTTTGAAATGCTAAGTGATTTCTGGAGTGACTTGTCTCTTCATCTGCCCTGCATTCTTTCCTTCTGCTCATTTGGCAGTGAGCGATCGGCGGCACAGCTCTGTCTGTTTGGTGCCATGTTCATCATATCAGCTCACAGCACGTGTTTCTTGATGATGCACATGATTCATGCGTTGCTCTGATAGCGCACCATCACTCAATACTGTTTCTTGCACGTTTCAGTTGACTGTAAAGGATAAGATACACTATTTTCACCTATTTGTCAACAGATCGTGGGCCGTTAACAAGGCACGTCATGCAGCGATGCTGATGTCCTGCAGTGTGACATGCTATACTAAAACTATGTGAAAAAGCATGTTTCTAATTCATTTATAATCACACAACAGCTCCAGTATCCTACTTTTTACAAAAGAGTAGCTGGAGATTTTATGTCTTGATTTGTTTGGAGGGTTAATTTAAGTGTAAAAAAATCATTGCTGAACACAAAAAAAAAAAAACATATTTTGAATATTGTTGGAATAAAACTCCCAGAGATGGGTTGCGGCTGGAATGGCATCCGCTGCGTAAAAAAAACGTGCTGGAAAAGTTGGTGGTTCATTCTGCTGTGGCAACCCTAGATTAATAAAGGGACTAAGCCGACAAGAAAATGAATGAATGAACATATGAATGAATGAATGAATGAATGAATGAATGAATGAATGAATGAATGAATGAAGGAAATACAACTAACATTCATAGTAGGATGATGTTTGGGTGTAGTGTCTCTTTAAGCAAGAGAAAACATGCAAGAATCCAAGCATTGGCATTACTTTTTATGCTGCTCTCTGGAATACTTGATTTGCCAAAAATAACAGATAATATCCCTAATAACAGCCGATAAAACTGTTATTACAGGCTCATCTGGGCAGCTACAGAAATGAGCAAAAAATATTAAAACACAAATCAAAATGTTGCACAGAGTGATTTAATTATGTCATCAGGTTATCGTGGAATCACTTTACTACAAAAGCGGCAGTTGTCAGTGTGTGTCTCTGTATTATTCAAGGAATCATGTACTGACAATACTGCAAAACTGGCAAGATTATTTATTCAGAGAAAAATAAAATAAATAAATAAAAAAAAGTAGATGGCCGGGTAAAAAATAAAATGGTGACCAATTTTAGCATCTAATCAATGTAAATGTATACTTACAAGTATAGAAATTAGACCTGCACAATTTTGGCAGAATAGAAAATGGCATATTTTTTTGCTTAAAATACAGATCACAATTTTTCTCACAATTCTAAAGATGTAAAATAATGGTTAATATCAGTAGGCTATTTTTATTGTTATTTCTCAAATATATGGTAAAACAACAATAATATTAGGTGTGGGTCTACTTTTGGGTAAAACTACATTTTGAATAGACTTTGAATTGTGAACTTAAACTTTAAATGTGTCCTGGTCATTAATGCACAGTAAAGTGATGACATCAAAATACAATTATTCATAATTCTGAGGTTAAATTATTATCTTTGAGCTTGTAATCTGTCATTGAGAACATTATCAGATCTTTTTTTCCACTGGTAAAATCAGACATTTGTTGTTATCAGATTCCCTCTTGCATTATATTCAACATTATAGGCTAGAGTAGTTATCCTGACACTGTTAAACATTTATTCTCATGTACAATATTAAATGCTTGTCACAATCATAATTCTAAAATGCGATATGATTATCCAAATACGCACGCTTTCGGTTTCATTTTCACTGCCAAGTGCGGTTCATACTTCTCGCACGGCTCCCAAAGGATTACTCCGTGCCACAAACTGAATGTTATTTACAACTTTATTACCTGTTATTCACAGCCAATGCAGGTTCTGTTCACTAAAGTAGACTTCATCACAGTATACAGTATAGTATGTGACTCTTTCAACACCATTTGGAGGTGCCCACAGTGCTAGGCTACATATATAAAGCAATGTGAAGAGACTTGTGCAGTTACCTTTGCTTTTCTTCTGAACTTGAAAGTATGATTGGCAAAATCATAGAAATGCTGGATTAAGATCGTCTAGGGGTCGAATCGAGATCGGGGTATTTTTTCGATTAAACGTGCAGCTCATAAATGCAAAATCATTAAAAAAAAACGAAATCTTACCTATGAAATGTTCTGCCTTTATGCTTTGTTTTCTTTGTTTGCTTGTTACTACACTTTTACACAGCACTACAGTCCAGCATCTTTAAATTGGCTTTAGTCTTGACTTGTGCGGTTGAATGACATTTGTCCTGGGAGCACTGTACAAATGTGGCGGCGCTATTGATGCATGCTAACGGTCCATATGCGGTATATATCTATGAGCTGTGAATATCACTTTTGTTAGACAAACTAGGTTTGGGCCGAGCTTCACCTGCTGTGCTTTGGTTTATCATAGTGTAGGTTAGATACTGCATCAGAAACGTGAAGATTTCCTTTTCAACAACTGACATATTTTTCTTTTTGGATAGTTAAGGTAGAAATTGGGCCAATAGAATAGGTTGTTTTGTTTTATCTATTCCTATTGTTTGGATGCTGCTCGCGTCTCATCTCTCAAACTCTCCCATCTACCATTTTGTGTCCTGTTTGCTGCCTGTTATTTTCAATATATTTTCGTAAATATTTATTGTTCTTTATATATATAAATTTTTACACTTATTATGACTATCTTTTGTAAAAAAAAATAAATAAAAAAAAAACTCAATTTATTGCATTTAGTTAGTCATAGTATTTTGTTCCTCACTCGTTGATATTGTGTGTATGTATTTCATCCAAAATTAATGTTATTCTCTTCCCCCTTAACTGACCATCTTCAAGATTTTAACACAGCGGATGCCCTTCCAGACTCAACCCAATAGTGGGAAACCTTCATACACACCCATTCACAAACACACATACACTGCGGCGGATTCAGTTTATTAAATTCACCTATACCACACGTCGTTGGACTGTGGGGGAAACCAGAGCACCTGGAGGAAACCTATGCAAACACGCGGAGAACATGCAAGCTCCACATAGAAATGCAGACTGGCCCAGCTGGGGATTAAAACCAGCAACCTTCTTGCTGTGAGATGACCGTGCTAACCACTGAGCCACCATGCCACCCATATACTATTTTTATTTATTGTTTGTTTGTTTGTTTATTTAGCAAGGGCAATTAAGGCAAAAAAATCACACACTATTTTAATTATTGTGGAAATGCTGATCTTTTAAAGTGTCTATCCTGAAAGAAATGCATATCAGTTTCTATTTTTCAACTTCTTTTAGTAAGAAGAAGAAAGTGTTATTGACAAATGAAGGAGAGCAGGGTGTGATTAGGAGCTAGCTTTTTGTTTGACCACATCTTTGTGTTTGTGAGCAAATGGTTGTGTGCTGTTCTTGTGTGTTTCTCACCATAGTGGCAGTGAAGGGAATGTTGTCTATTAGAGAGGACGCCAGCGCTGAAACCCACAATACCAAAATGATGGCGATGGCCAACCGTTCATCCTCTGGCACTGCCTGGGAGAGAAGATAACAATAAAATATGTCACAAGCGCAAACACACAAACCCTCTCTCACTGTCAGTCTCATAAAGGCCTGTAGATGCCAGCACAAAGGTGGGAGGCTTCGCAGACAATGTGTTCATGACACAGTCATATTGGATTTATTATTTCACGGTCTGTTGCCTTCATAAACCAAAGCACAACACCACACGTGTACACAAACACACACAAACACACACTTTCTCACCATATACCAGTTTGTCTTCTGGTTATATATGTGAAAGTATGAATAGATCTACAAATTATGTGATTTTTAGTACAGATTTATTGAAAACGTGACCTAATTTTTTATTTTATATAAATATATATTTTTTTACAAAGTGTAAAATACATTGCTCTGGGTACATTTTGTTGCACGTTTCAGATGACAAATTAACTAGGGGCGCTGTTTCCATTTTTGTGAATCTGAAATTTGTTACATAGGGTATGTATTTTTTGCATGTTTCAGCTAAACATCCTTCTGGTACACTTCCATGAGAAAGCGGGGATTGTAATCAAGATCACCAAGACCAGTGAACCACATGATTTTAATTTGTTTTGTTCTCTTTTGTGCTTCACCAATCTTGAACCTGAAATAAGCTGACTAAAGATAGTTGTTTATATGGAGATATACTGTAGAAATTTGTCGATATGCATATAAACATGTGTGGCAAGATTATACAATTACAAAATCATAGACATTGCATTTATTTACTATTTTGTACTGCACAAAAACAATCCTTTTGTTTGCATATAATATGTCCCTGCAAACATAACTACTGTCATTTTTATTATGTAATTCATTTTTATTTTACCTAAAACCTTTTTCATTTTCATTTTACAAAGACAGTTTTTGCTGTTACACAAAAAAGTAGGTTGTATTTCCAATGAGCCTGTGTTGCATAACTAACAGACATAATGCATCTCAGTTTCCATAAATTCATACTATTTTCAACTTTGGTATTGTAATATTAACATAGTAACAAATCCAAATGATAATAATAACATAAAATTACCTGCCTTCTTGAGGCTTATCAAAAGCTATTTTCAATAACTATGATTTGGGCTAGGGAGTTATCTGAGAAAGAGAGTTTTTAGTCTTCAAATCCCTGCCATTTTCAGGACAATTTGAATTGAACAACTAATTTTAAAAACAAAGACTTGACATCTGTGCTTATAGAATTAAATTAAAGGTCTATAAGATAAGGCACGAGAAATAATACATCATACACTGTCACTAAATTGCTCACAATCTTTTTTGAGCCACGTACAGTTTGTTCAATCTTCCAGCTTTTATAAACATAAATAAATAGGAAATAGGAAGAGATGCTGTGTAGTTGTGCTATTCAAAGTCCCATTCAAATTATCATTTCCACAAACGTATTATAAAAAAAACACACTGTCAACCATATTGACCAAGAGACGGTTTGGGAAAACATATTTTGTTCTTTAAAAAATCCAATTTACCAGATACGTAACACATTTTAAATTCTGACACAGATTGAACTGGAGACCAAATAATCATTTTCTCTGTAAATTATCTTCAGGTCGAAATTGCAGTTTTTTTCTCACCAACAAGTTAGAATTTTTATATATGATGTGGGAAAGTAAGAAGTTGTGTGAGTTGTGGGAAAAACTTTCATCAATAATATCTGAAATTATAGGAAAAGAAATACTATTGCAACCAGTTGTGCTACTTTTAATTGATGATTCTAGTTTGGTTTTGACGAAGTGACAAAGAAAGGTCTGGTTGGCAGGACTAACATCTGTTAAAAAGATAATTGCGCAAAGATGGCTCCCTTCACATTCTTTATTTATTCAGCAGTGGCTATTGCAGTTTTATGATATAGCATTGTTAGAACTTTCAACAGCCAGATTAAAGCTAGAGCCTCAACTCTTGATGCGTACAAAAAGGCTGCAAACTAGCAGAAAGACTCATGGATAATACAAATTAATGTGCTACAACCTGAATCCTTAAATCTCTGATAATTTGTGTGAATTTCTAGTTACTTTATTTAATTTACTATCATGTGTGTGTGTGGGCGCGTGTAATAGTCCATAAGTCAATAAACCATTTGTAATAGTTTTAATAACTCTTTCTAATAACTAATTTATATGAGCTTTGTGATGATGACATAATTTTTTACTAGATATTTTTCAAGACACTTCTATACAGCTTAAAGTGATATTTAAAGCATTTAAACCTTACATGTAAACCCTAACTGGGTTAATTAGGTTAACTAGGCAGGTTAGGGTAATTAGGCAAGTTATTGTATAACGATGGTTTGTTCGGTAGACAATCAAAAAATATATAAGCCCAAAGGGGCTTAAAATGATTTTTGACCTTAAAATTTTTTTTTTTATTTATTATTATTTATTTAAAACTGTTTTTATTTTAGACAAAATAAAACAAATAAGACCTTCTCCAGAAGAAAAAAAATATTATCAGACATACTGTGAAAATGTCCTTGCTCTGTTAAACATAATTTAGGAAATATTTAAAAAAGAAAAGCTATTCAAAGGTGGGCTGATAATACTGACTTGTATTTGTACATGCATGTGTATGTATGTATGTATGTGTGTGTGCACACTTATGTATATTCATATGTATGGGTATGTGTGTATTATTTTCTATGATACTTTAGACTGTAAATATAGCCTTTATTTAATATGTTTGTGTTTCAGATATGTGTATCTTATGTTTATATGTTTTCTGTTGGTTATTTGTCTTGATTGCAATGCTATTTGTGGGATCGCATGGCCTTTGGCACCACTGCGGGGTAGGGTGTGTGTTTTTCTGGGTTGGCTGTGGGTGTTGAGGAGTGGATCTAAATTTTAAAGATGCTGTGACCACTCACATGTAAAATCCATAAAAAAAATATCACAAAAAATAATATGGAAAATTTCAGAATATGATTTCTGAAGGGTCATGTGACATTGAAAACTGCAGTGATGACTGCTAAAAAATTCAGCTTTGCCATTAAAGTAGAACAGAAAACCATTTGTTGAATTAATAATTGACTATATTTTTACTATTGTTCTTATTAAAGGAACACAGACAGGTAAATTCTGGAAGAGTTTTTTTTTTAAACATAACAAACACAGACATCTGAATGGTTGTAAAGTTCTGTGAAGTTAAAGAAATAACCTTTAATTAATACACGATGTTGGATTGGATTTGTTATTTAACCAAAACAAAATCACAATACACTTAACACACACACATCTTCTTTTAATGTACACTGTTTAGGATTTTTTGAAAATTACACAGTATTTAACTGTAATATGAACTTTATTTTGCTGTAGGACAGTTATGTAGTATGGTACTGAATTTTAAAGTTGCATTGTAAATTGTACTGTATTTTCCAGTAAAGATATATATATTTCTGTAAATATATATATACAGGCAGATTAATTGTGCTGTAAATGTAAATTGTGTTTTTACTGTAACTGATTTAAAGTAAATTACTGGCAAACTGCTGCCAATAAGCTACTGTAGAATCTACAGCATAATGTTAAGCGTGTATGTGCGAACACAACATAGATTTTTATAAGCATCTATGAAGGATGTGGTTTTATTTCCGGCGACTCCCTGCTGTTTCTATATGTATGGTCATATTTTTGGGGGTCTGGTGCTGGTGATTGGACTGAATGCATCAGGGCTCCACAGCAGCACCTGTCATGAATAATTACTGTGATTGTTTAAGGCTCACACACCAAACGCAAGCTGACGGGTCTATCAGAGTGTGATCGCCAGCCAGGCAGAGCTGGACTCTTCCAGGTCTGTGAAAATCTCTGTATTTACGGCCCACACAGCTCCACTATTGGATCAAAGATAACAATCATTTCAGCCAGCCAAACAATTTAATGAGGCTCGTTTGGCTCATTGTTAATGTATGGAAATAAATGCTTCTTTTTCAGTGCCCGGTTCTAGGAGCATGCATGCTTCCATAAGGATTATCATTTTATTGGTTTTAGAGTTATAAGTCATTTACTAAACCAGCCGGCAAACAAGGTGAATCACAACACTATAAACTTTAGTTTGAAGCAAAAATGAATAACACTTTGTGCCCTAATATGCATTTATTTATGCCTAACTAATGCACAGATGATCACTAGCTAACAAATGACTCATGAAAAAAATAAACCATACTGCATCAGCCACTAATAAGGGTCTATAGCAAGAGTTCTCAATGTCTACATTAAAAGGTCCAAATCTGAATTTTTATTAAGGTCAAAGGTCCAGAACAATTGAGTTTACAGATCTTGTTTTGAATAAACATTCATAACATGCACCACAAGTCAACACTATTTAATTTTATTTTTAAAAAAGTGGCATTTGCATTTCAAACACATTAAATACAATGTAAATGTGGCAAAACTATTAATATAAGTGCATTTTTGTACAAAACACAACAAAAGGTATATAATATCGGGATGCAGCTATGACGATGCAAGCTGAGGTTGCATATCTCAGAGATGCAATGTAAGACCCAATGCACTCAATTGAGCTAGTGATGTCACTGTGAAGGGTTAAGGGTGAGGTTATGTGTGGGCATTAAAAAGCAGCTCAGCTTTTGATTGCCACTGCACCAGGTCTGCACCCAGACCCCTCTTCAAAAAAGGTGAAAAATACAAAAGGTATGTAATGAAAACTTTAGGGTCTCGTAGTTTTGCGGTCCTGTATTTTGTGCATACTGCAGTTCAAAATGAAATGTGTTTCATTTTATAGTGCTGTCTCACATTTCTACTCTTTCCAATTTCAAATGTCTCATTACAAATCAAGCAGAATGGCTTAGTGCTGGCTTGTGGCAAAATAAGCGCATACTTATCTCTCTATTCAACTTTGAACTGTTGATTCTCTTCATTAAGCTTTTTTTTTTCGTGAGACCGACATCTTCATCCATTCAAATAAATGCTAAGCAGCTGTGTGGTAAAGCAGGTGTGCGCGATTAGCCCGCTCAATCGCATAAAGCCTCGTAAGATCAATGGAGGTCATGATAACAGAGTCACGCAGAAAAACTTTGAATATTTCGCCTTCGATTTTTTTTCCGCCCATATTTTATTTATTTATTTTTTACAAAAAAAAAAAAAACAACTAAAAAGCTGATTTACAAGGTTTATGTCTTTATCAATGAAGGAAAAATGCACAATTTGAATATTCTGGACAATAAGAAGCCATGTTCTATTGTAATTAGTACTAATTTATATTCATATATACTGTATATTTTAGGTTAAGTTAATATATGAACTGCTATTAATTAAATGCGTCATCATGAAACTTGTACATTTTTACATTAACTTATACATTAACTTGATGAATTTATAAATTAGGTTATTTACCTCGGTAATACAAAGCTATGCATTGTAGCCCTCCAGTTGTTTGCTTTAATTACTCCTTTGACAATGATTTGCAAAGACCTCATCATGTTAACACTTACTGAAGCTCATTTGACTTCTTTTACTTGTTATAGATACATAGAAGTCAGACGACAATCATTTTAGATGATAAAATTATAAGAATCATTATATTCTATTACCAAAATTACGTAGATGAAAATAATTACCAACACTTTACTTAAGAACAAATTTCTTTACTTGGTACCAATTTCCACTAGCCAATTAACTACTGGCTAATTATCTGCATATTAATAAGATGTTGGCTGTTTATTAGTACATATTAAGTATTTTCTTATTCTACATCCCTAATCTTACCTAATACCTAAACCAACTACTATACCCACGGTCCCACTAGAGTTTGAGCATGCAAAATTCTGTCATGCAACGCTGCGAAAAGGGGCAGGATTAAAAAAGATGAGTAGACATAAAAAAAACAAGTGATTGCTCCATATTCTACATTTCTGTACAGAGAGGATATGTTTTGATCCTCTATTGGTCTCACGCAATCATGCGATGCAATTTCGCTGATCAGAGTTCACCATGCTTGAACTTTGCACCGCAGCTTATCTTACTAACTGTTAATTAGCAGCAAGTGAGTAGCTTAATTGAGCTTTTTGATTTTTTTTTATTAATAAAATGTTTATTGAAAATCACAAAAACAGTGTAACCAAATATTTTTAATACTGCAAACATGCAACCAACCATGTGATTATTATATAAACAGAAACACAGCTAATGCTACATCGTAACATTGCACTTCACATTACCATTGTGTGTTTGCATTATAATCAATGGCATGATTTAGATGTTTTGTGCTGATTTGTTTACCTTCTGCAGTGACTCAAAACAACAGTAAATGAATAGTGAACTTCCCCTTAAAGTCGGTACAAAGTCAATACTCACTTTTATCAACACTGCAGTCTGCTCCCCAATGTAGTCGATGAGCTGCAGCTGAGCGAGAGCCTTAAAAACACACCACAGAGAAAAATCAAGCCATAGACCAAAAAACAAAAACAGACATTTACCCTGACAGCTCTGATTTTCAATCCTTTAAACTTTTAAATATCAAAATTCATGAAGTATATATATTTTTTATATCTGGGTGCTTGCGCTGAACCCTGCTTTGAGTGATTGTGAATGCTGGCTCTGCTATAGAGGGCAAACAGTTTATCTTGGAGCAGCGTTAAGCTCCCCACTGGGCCCAAAGGGTGGGCTTCCCTGTGTGAATACTGTCCAGCGAACAAAACAAAGGATTAAACCTACACAAACAGCAAACCCAGCATTTCTGCTGCTGACGAGCTCACTTTCCTCTTACTTAGACTTCCAATCTAATCTCTAAGTCGCTCCCTTTCTCTTTCTTCACTTATAAATAGGATAGATAAAAAAATAAACATAACATTAGAATATTTTATAATAAGAAGTTAAACTTTTTATCTTTCATGACAATGCACTTTAAATATTCAAGTCTAAAGCAATGCAAGTTTTTCCTCTTTCATTCTTAAGTTATAAGGCTTTTTTATTTATTAATTGTATACAAATATAATTATTTTAAAAGTATATTACTATTAGTTATAAATAGTAACACATTTTGAGTTGATACAAATACATATATTGCAAGTATCTATTATATATGTATTAATAAATGAAAAAATATATATATATAATTTTTGCATGTACTAATCCATTTATTTTACATATAAATCTCATTACTGATTCAAAACTGCATGTTGGACACAAAAAAAGCTTTTTTTTATTTTGCTGATCAAATCAACATGGAGCAGTTGTTCCTTTCAGCTTGGTAAACAATGACCAGACGTCACTGTAATGTATCACATGCCAGAACACTGGGCTACAGTATGTGGGCGTTTGTGTTTTCAGGCATGTCTGAGTCGTGAGCATTACCATACCTCCATGAGCACAAACAGAGCAGCGAAGAACAACAGCGTGGCCCATTCTACTCTATGAAGAATGATCTCAAAGTCCTGAATGTCAGCAAGCACCAGTAACCACAGAGCCCCCAAGATAGCGATCCAACCTGAGGAGCAAAACATCAAGAAATGAAATGAGAACACTGACTACACAAACCCAATCTTATTTCCTGCTGATGGAAATGAGTCATGCAGGTTATTAAATCAATGAATCAATCGATTCAAAATCAATTAAAACAAATTTGTCAGAGGGTGTACAAAATAAGTTATATTCCAATGAAATGCATTATTTATTTAAACAGAGTTTTCTCTGAACATGTTAGTATTTTTAAGAATGCATATTTAAATAAAACATGTCTTACAATCTCCAGCCCTTTTGCTTCTCATGTAAATGTTTCTTGATTTAAAAAGTTTGTTCATTTGTTCGTTCATTTGTTTACTTGTTGTTGATTTATTTATAATTTATTTAACAGTGGCTGTTGTTGTAAATGAGTAATGCAAGTAAACAAAGGAATGAACAAAGGAGCAAAGAAATGGACAAACAAATGAATGAATCAATAAAACAATAAACAAACAAATCAATCAATCAAATGAATAAACAAATAAGCAAACAAATGAACAAATCAATCCATCAATCAATTAAATTAATGAACAAATTAACAATTTAATAAACCAATCAATCAAATATCAATCAATCAATTAATCAATCAAGCAATCAAATGAATGAACAAATAAGCAAACACGTGAACAAATCAATCCATCAATCAATTAAATTAATGAACAAATGAACAAATCAATAAACCAATAAACCAATTAATCAATCATCAATCCAACAATCAATCAATCAAATGATCGAACAAATGAACAAATCAATAAACCAATCAATCAATCATCAATCAAATAATTAATCAATCAAATGAATGAACAAATGAACAAATCAATAAACCAATCAATCAATCAAATGAACAAATGAGCAAACAAATAAACAAATCAATCAATCAATCAATCAAATAAACGAACAAATAAACAAATCAATCAATTAATCAATCAAATAAACGAACAAATGAACAAATCAATCAATCAATAAAAAGAACAATTCAATCAACCAATCAAATAAATGAATAAATGAGCAAAGAAATGAACAAAATTAATCAATCAATCTAATGAACGAACAAATGAGCAAACAGATAAATGAATCAATCAATAAATCAAACAAAAACAAATGAGCAAACAAATTAACAAATTAGTATATTAATCAATCAGGAGACGCAGAGGCGCAGTGTAAAGTGCTGCCACCTTACAGAAAGAAGGTTGCTGGTTCCAGCCTCGGCTGGGTCAGTTGTAGTTTTTGTGTGGAGTTTGCATGTTATCCCTGCCTTTGCGTGGGTTTCCTCCGGATGCTAAGGTTTCCCCCACAGTCCAAAGACATGCAGTACAGGTGAATTGGGTAGGCTAAATTGTCTGTAGTGTATGAGAGTAAATGGATGTTTCCCAGAGATGGGTCATCCGCTGCATAAAACGTGCTGGATAAGTTGGTGGTTCATTCCGCTGTGGCGACCCCAGATTAATAAAGGGACTTAGCCGAAAAGAAAATTAATGAATAAATAATAATCAATCAATTGAACAAACAAATTATTTAATGGATCAATTAATCAAGTGAGCAAACAAATGGACAAACCAATTAATCAAATGAATAATTAAATAAACAAACAAATGAATTAATAAACCAATCAATCAAATGAACAAACAAATAACCAAACAAATAAACCAATCAATCAATCAATAAATTAATCAATAAAATTAACAGACAAATGAACAAATTAATAAATCCATAAATCAAATGAACAAACAAATCAATCAATCAAAACAAATCTGCCAGGATTGTATGTAAGGTTAATGTTTCTTGGGTCAGATTTTGTAATGGAAACCAAGACAAAAACACTGAGCACAAAAACACTTTTAAACTCATTTATGTATCTGCTGGTTTGCTTATTATTGATTTTTTTTTCCAAACACAATCTTATCCTGTTGTTGCACTTAAAATGTTTTAAAGATAATAGAATCCTAAAAAAAAAAAAAAACTAAAACAGCCAACGGTGGATAATGCAATGCATCAATCATATGTTACATCTCTATCAGTCATGCTTTCCCCTAACACAGTTTCATCAGGCGATCAACAGCGTTCATGAATCGGCTATTCCAGTCACACAACTCCTCAGTCGACGGGAGAGATCCCAACCAGCGGCATTCAATTAGTAACACAGTCCAGCAAGCCCACAAACAGCCTCATAAATGCGCTGCACATCGATACACTCACACCACAGGTAGACTGAGACGCCACGGTGCAAGACAGGGTTGTCAGGGTATAAGAATAATAGGCCAGTTACTGGATAGTCTTCATTAAATGCTTCTGTGATGTGGCTGATAGCGATCTAAGTACCTCAGTCTAAATAAATGATGGCATCACAAGTACAACAGAGATAACAGAACATAAAAGTGGCAGTTTCCCAGAGAGAGTAGAGCATGTTAATTAATTCTGCATGCTGTTTTTATTTTTAGAGTATTCAGTTGCATGATGAAAAATACAATAGTTTAGAAGTTTAAAGTTATTTATTTATTTATTTATTTATTTATTTATACTTTTATATTATTTATATATTTATTTATTTGCTTTTGATTGTTTAACAAGACTGCACTTATTTAATAGAAATTAAAATGAATTACTCTTTTCAATCATTATGTTGTTTAAAATGTAATTGTTTTGTGTGATGGCAAACCAATCATGCTAATAAAAACAATTCAAATAGTTATTGTTGTTGAAAAAGGTTATGCTTGTTTACATTTGTGTGGAAAGTGTTATACTTTTTTTAAGATTGACTGGGAAAAAGAAAAAAAAAGCTTTATATATTTTTTGAATATTTTATGTTATTAAAGTAGAATCTTTTCTATTTCTTAGAAGACATTTACAAATCATTTTACATTTAGGTGAATTGTTGGGGAAATTTTGCATGAGTTGTTTAGATGCATGTGCATGTGTGTGTGAGTGCATGTGTGTATAATAATGCTTCATTTTTTAAATAATTGTAAAGATTTTTTTAGCAAGAATATAAAGTTCTTAACAGCAATCTTTTAGCAATTTCAAGTGTCAAAAAATTAATTAAGAGTAAATATTTCTGGATTAGCTTTCATACACTACAAAAAAATGTAGTCATAGGCAGTGCTGAGGCTAACATGTTACAAGTAACGTAAGTTACATAATATTACTTTTTTAAGTAACAAGTAAAACATTACTTTAAAAAAATAACTAATAATGTGACGCAAGCCCTCTTACAGTTTCATTAATTTGATAAAAAAAATAAAAAAATCTTCCTAGATATGGGTTGCGGGTGAAATGGGCATCTGCTGCGTAAAAACTTGCTGGATAAGTTGGCGGTTCATTCTGCTGTGGCGACCCCGGATTAATAAAGGGACTAAGCCGACAAGAAAATGAATGAATGAAAAATTTTTTTTGCTGAAATACAATTAGTCACAATGAATTATGCAGTCAATGAGAGAATATGTTCATTATTTTGATTGCATTGCATAAAAAGAAAAGAGGATTGTCTTAATGGACAGTGATTTAACCTAATAAAATAATAAAAACGTATTAAAACAAATAATAAAAAGTAGCAAACACATTTTTTTAAACGTTCAATAATCTGAATATACAGTACAGCATGTAGCTCTGGGGTCTGGAAGTTTTCAGTTAACATGATCCTAATTTTTTTTATGTGTTTTTTTAAAGGTAAATTTAGGGGTACTGTACGTTATACAATGTGTTGTAAATTGTAGAGATCCTCTATTAGAAAAGAAGAAAAAAACACGCTCTATAAGAGATCAAACCTTTGCCAGGTAATAAAAAGTAAAACAAAAGTAAGCAACAAAACTAATTGCTTTTTGGGGGAGTAACTCAATATTGTAATGCAATATTTTCAAATGCAACTTTCCCCAACCCTGCTCATAGGTATAACATTTTGTAGCACATACTTTAATCCACTCATGTTTTTATTTTTTGTCTCAAAAATCTTTAAAGCACACATGTTAAATATAGGCTAAGAACATTAGCCGATTTAAAAATTGTACACAGCATCTAAAGAACATTGCCAAACATTTTACTACTGATTAGCTGATGTACCATTTCTCAGAAGCACGAATAAAAACACACTCAGTGTGTCAAAAACAAAATGTACAAGTGACTAAATCGAGAAGAAAAATTCGACAGGACATGGTTATTTGCCAGAGATAGAAGTCCATCATAATGAGTGTGCCATTTAAACATCAAGGCCGTGCACAAGTAATGCGTCACACGTCAGCCTTTGACCTTTACTATAATAGCCACAGAAAAATAGGCTTTATTCTGGACCTGTGTATTATAATCAAATGCCTGACGTCGACAACTGTGAGAAAAAATGACTGACCGCAAATGTTACAACAAACGGAAGCCATTAGCACAGTTAATGAATGCTTACACACTGAGAGAAAGATTTACAAGCAGGAAGATCAGAGTTTGAAACATATTAAAATGCAGTAGATTATTTTCTGAAGGTTGCATTTTACCCCAGCAAGCGTTAATGGAACATTGATTGTACAATTTCATCCTGATAAAATAGTTCCTGGAAATAAAACCCTGTAATATATTGTTTGTCGTCATATAGCAACAAATAAATAAAAAAATAAAGACGTGAAAGTGTCCATTTAATTTGCTATTTTGCTTTTATTTGTTTGTTTGTTTGTTTGTTTGTTTGCTCTATATTTATCATTCTATTTCTATTTGGGTAGAGGAAGAGTTAATGTTTGTTTTATGTATGAGTGTTTGGAAACCAGTAAGACATAGTAAGGACATACTGTAGTAAGGTGTTTGGACAATGGTTACATGCAACCCAAAAACATCCCTATCAAAGCTCTGTTGTCAAAATATCTTTTTTTTATGATACAATATCTGAAGTGTTCCATCATGAACACATAAAGGTGGCTCAATAAAAGTTTCACAATCCAAAGAAGATCACAATCTACAGCTGTGCACATACACTAGCAATTGCAAACAAAAAAAAAAGAATATGGTATACTT